CCGCCTCGAAATTCCTTTGGTACTTGTTCCTCATGTACTTCACATTACTGTACTTCACCTTCTATGGCATGATGGTTGTGTCTGTCACTCCCAATCACAACATTTCTGCCGTCGTCGCATCTGCCTTTTATGCTGGATGGAATCTCTTTTCTGGATTCCTCATCCCCCGACCGGTAAGTTGTGCAAATATCATCATCATTTCTTTCCATAATAGTCACGCATGCAAAGCAAAGCAAGAAATCTTACTCTCTCTCTTTTTTTTTTCTTTCTTTCTTTTTAATAATTCTGAATTTCTTGTCAAACAACAGAGGATTCCTATTTGGTGGAGATGGTATTACTGGGGATGTCCCGTGGCTTGGACCTTGTATGGCCTGTTTGTATCCCAATGGGGAGATCTGTCTGATCGTCTTGAAGACAACGGCGAATTAATTAAAGATTACCTGAGACATTACTTTGGATTCAAACATGACTTTCTTCCAGTTGTTGCTGGTGTAGTTGTCGGATTGCCGGTAATTTTTGCCTTCATATTTGCCTACGCCATTAAAACTTTCAACTTCCAGAGGAGATAAAAGACGCAGTCATAACAACATTGCGGAAGCGAAGCTGCGTTTATCATCATTCATCTCCTGAGCAAGGCACTTGGAAGCATAAAAAATGTTTGTGTATAGATTTGCTTGAATGCTCAATCCTCAATGTAAAAAGGGCTGGGCATTTTGAAGCATTATCCACTCCACTCCACTCCACTCCACTCGGTGGATATATAGATATATAGAGAGAGAGTGTGTGATATATGTTATTCATTTATTTGTAAACAATCAAGCTTAGTTTAAAGTAATAATGAATAGTAGTCAGCAATTTTGCATAAAAGCTTTGTTTTTCCCGATCTCAATTATCATTCTGACAGAAGACCTTGCTTTTATTATTTCTATCTACTGTGAATCAATATTTAATCTAAAATTCTTTTATCTTTCTATGTCAATGCTCAATGCTAAGTAAACAAGTTAACAGCTGATTAAACGCCACCCACATACACAAAACAAAGCCGTAAAGGAATTTAAAACTTTTTTTAATTGAATGATGATCTGTCTTGTTTAGAGATTAACCCCCGGATCAGCAAATATTTTGCCTGTACTTTCGTGCTTAGAGACGCGTAATCTGAGAATGGTCTTCGGGCTAAAGCAGACTCATTTGGAAACTTAATAGGAGTCGCTGAAACAAAATATGGTCGCAATATTTTAGGTTCCATTATTGTCCTCACAAAAAATCTCAAAACACCACCTCAATTTTGCTGTTACTAATCACACGACATTAATCTGACAAAGTTGGGATACTCCGATGTTGAAAAAAAAAATTAAAAAGTCACACGACATTGATCGGCTACAACTTTTCTTCACAAGCCACCTTTTCCTGTTTCATTTCCATGCAAATTTTGACTAAGAATAAGAAGGCAATTTTAGAAAAACACCAGCAGCATCTTCTAGTGTCTATTCTGTTTTTAACATTTCTAAGACCGCTTAAAGCAATGTACTATTAGTTAAGGGACAGGTTTGAATTTAAGAAATGGACCTCCCCAAATTTTAGAGCTTGAATTGCAGGACCGAAACTTTGACGAGTCTAGTTAAATGAAAGTGAAGCATCAACATTTTCAGATTTGTGTTTGTCTTATATACGTCCACGTTTTCTTCCAATACACAATCTTTGTTAGTATTCGTACGTTTTCTGACGTAAAGTGACTCCTCTCTTTGCGTAGATGACGCTCTCTCTTGGGATAAGAGCTTACCTCCCTTTTGGTGGGAGTTCTTCAAAATTCAAACTTTTTCAAAATTTATGGCTAATCAACACCTTCCAATCTAACTTCGATGAACATCACCACTACCGATCTGGTCTGCATCAAATGCTTGTTTAATGCAGCTCAACTATCGCACTCAGAGAGCTTCTAGGAGGTCTCTCCTGAGGGAACAACGGACATCTTAAAGTCTCCACTTTATGGTAGCTGAAAGCCAGGTGAATCTTGTTTGCCCTTTACTTTTACTTGTTCCTATTTCTGAGGTAGTACATGTCTGGTAGTGTTTTGGAGTTGTCTGAGACCCTTGTCTGTCGTCTTGTTGTGTGGTCAACCTTGTTATGTCTTTTTCTAAAGTATTCTCTCTGTAAGGTAGGCCTTCTGTGAGCCTTTTCTTACGTTGTCTGTTTTTCTTCTCTTGGGTTCGTGTTTTTGTTTTTTCCTGTCTGGAAGTCGAAGAGTTCTTTCTTCCTAAGTACGTAGAAGGAATACCCGCTAGCATCTCTAGCTCATCTATGGAGGGAGACCTGGCTGAATTGTTACAAAAGTTTTCTCTGGAAGGGAACGAGATATCAGGAGCTAAGTTGGAGCTTGAGGACCTTAGTAGTGGGAGGAGAGATTGTGCAGACAGTTTGATAGGGAGAATTATGGGGGAAAAAATTGCCAACTTTACGGGAGTGAAAAACTTCGTGACAGCAGCATGGAGCTACCCCAGGAACTTGACTGTTATGGAGTTAGGACCGAATCTATTCCAGTTTAATATCCCAAATGTAGAAGAGAAAGAAAGGATAGTGACAGGAGGTCCTTGGATAATGGACAACCAAGTTCTAGTGCTGAACAGATGGTCTGAGGGAGTAGAAGATAACTATGGAGCTTTTACAACTGCACTTTTGTGGGTACAAATGTGGAATCTGCCAGTGCACTGGCTGTCCAAGGAGGTAGGGAGAAAGATTGGCGCAGTTTTTAGAGAAGCAAAAGAAGTGATTATACCTCAGGCAGGAGGAAAAGAGGGAAGACATCTTAAAGTTCTTGCCCTGGTAGATTTGTCTAAACCCCTCCTCAGAGGAACGTTGGTTAATGTAGCAGAGTCACTCAAATGGGTTGCCTTTAAATATGAAAGATGCCCGGATTTCTGTTACAGCTGTGGTATAGTTGGGCACGGGGAACGTACGTGTCAAGAACAAAGGAATTCATCAGGGACCCTCTTGGAGAATCAATATGGGCCGTGGCTGAGAGCAGGAAGTAATAGAAGTCCAACAAAGGATAGGACAGTGAGAGAGGACCTGGTGAAGGATAAAAGGTATTGGAAGTTTCAGAATGGAGAAATGGTTGAGAGGGAAAGGACCAGGATGCAGGCTGGAGAGAAAATCCTGGAGACGTTGAGGTCTTCAGGGCTAGGAACGAAGAGTTCTCCAGAGGTTGTTAAAGAGCAGGAGAAGGAAAGGGTGGAAAATCTTCGAAGTAGCCCCCCATATAAAGGGGACAGTAGTGGAAAGGATAGGGACCTCAGTGATGGCTCTCAGGCCTTGACTAAGGAAAATCAGGACCTCTTGCTGATATCGCAGGTCAGAACTGAGAAAAGAGTGACTTTAGTAGTAGAGGAGGAAATGGTTGAGGTTAGAGATGAGAGTGCAAAATGGCTGGAGCAGGAGAACAGCCTACAAGAGATACCAGTCTTTGAGGCAGCTATGCAGGAGAAAAGCCTTTGTGAGGTAAAGAGGCAAGGAGCTATGACAAAGCAAGTTAAAAGGTCTTATAAAAAGCTGAAATCTCCTGTTAAGACAAGAAGGCCTTTGAGAGAGAGAAATGGACAGGAAGCTTTCGTTGGGGGTAGTGGTAAGAGAAAGATGCTGGTCTTTGATGAGGAAATGGAGGATGTGTATTCGAAAGAGCCAGTAGGCAAAAAAGCTAAGGCTCTTGAGCTGTCTGGATACACAGGTTTGTCTGAGGTGGAGGTGGGGTCTCTCCCTTATAGGGCCCCCCAAGGGAAATGAGGGCTTTGGTGTGGAATTGTCAAGGAGTGGGGAGCCCCTTGACAGTTCCCCACCTGAGGGAGGTTAATAACCTCCTCTCTCCAAGCTTTATTTTCCTAAGTGAGACAAAAAATAGAAAACAGATTTTGGATAGGATTGCTAGAAGCTTACGTTTTGACAACAGTGCAGTGGTAGAAGCCATGCACAAGGCAGGAGGAATGGCAGTTTTTTGGAAAGAGGGTACACAAGTTCTGGAAGTTAATCTAACAGCCTTCACTATTGAAGTCAGGTTAGAGGATGATGATAAGCATTGTGACTGGTGGTTTATAGGAGTTTATGCGAGTTGTGATGGACAGATAAGTAAGGAACAATGGAGAGTTTTGAGAGATAGGAGCAGGTTGTGGGGAGATAGATACATGATAGCAGGTGATTTTAATGATATAGTGTCAAATGGAGAAAAATGGGGGAGTGTTTTCAGAGAGGAGAGCAGCTTCAGGGATTTTAAGACCTTTATAGAGCAGAGTAACTTAATAGATATAGGCTTTGAGGGACACCCATGGACTTGGAGTAATCATTGGGAGAATGAAGGAGAAATTAGGCAAAGATTAGACAGATGCTTGGCCAGTTATGAATGGGTGCAAACTTTTGATAAAGCTAAATGCCAGCATATGGACACTTATGCTTCTGACCACAGCATTTTGTGCTTAGACACTGATCCAGAAAAGGGGAAAAGGAAACAAAGGTTCTTTTTTGATAAAAGATGGTTGCATAAGGAAGGGGTGCAACAGGTAGTCGAGCAAGCTTGGCAAAGGGATGAACCTGGTTCAAGAATGTTTAAGATAACAAGGAAAATCAGGAACTGTAGAATTGAGTTACTAAAATGGAGGAACACGTTTGCTGCAAACTCTAAAAGGAAAATTGCAGAGGTAAAGGAAAGACTGGAGGCCTTAAGTAGCTCTGAGGCTCCCAGTAAGAAGGAGAAGAGGACTGAGCTTAAACACCAGCTTAAGGAAGCATATCAGGAGGAGGAGAAATTCTGGAGCCAAAAGGCTAGACTTGACTGGCTCAGGGAAGGAGATAAAAACACCAAGTACTTCCATGCCTTGGTGAAGGGGAGAAGGATTAAGAATAGAATCAGAAAACTGCAGAGGGAGAATGGCTCTTGGGCTGAAAGTGAAGAAAAAATAGTATCAGAAATTTCTGGGTTCTTTCGAGAATTGTTTACAAGTGGATGAAGGAATGAGATGGCAGAGATCCTTGAGGGTATTCCCCACTCTATTACTCAGGATATGAATACAAATTTGACTAAACCAGTAGAGGAAGAAGAAATTCAGTCAGCTATTTTTTCCATGCAGTCTGATAAAGCCCCAGGTCAGGATGGCATGTCCCCCTTGTTCTTTCAAAGGTTTTGGAGCATTATCAAAGGGGATCTAACTCCAGCCATTCAAGCCTTTTTCAGCTCAGGCCACATGCTAAAATCTATAAATCACACGGTTATTTCCCTCATCCCCAAAACTTTGCACCCTTCTTGCTTGAAGAACTTCAGACCCATCAGCTTGTGTAGTGTTATATACAAAGCCATCTCCAAAATTTTGGCCAATAGAATGAAACAGGTTCTAGGAAAATGCATTAGCAACACCCAATCAGCTTTTATCCCAGATAGGCAGATTTTAGATAATGTAATCCTAGGTCATGAGTACATGCATTACCTCAAAAATAAAAGACAAGGGAAAGAAAGTTTCATGGCAATTAAGCTTGACATGGCCAAAGCATACGATAGAGTGGAGTGGCATTTTTTGCAAGTTATGATGCAGAAGATGGGCTTTTGTGCAAGATGGATCAACTGGATTACTAGCTGCTTGAGTTCAGTAACTTATTCCTTCAACTGCAATGGGGAATCGAAAGGTTTTGTTACTCCAGAAAGGGGAATAAGGCAGGGAGACCCTCTGTCTCCATACTTATTTCTGATATGCTCAGAAGGATTCTCCAACCCATTGAAGAAAGCAGAGGAGAGGAAGGACTTAAATGGTCTGAGGATCAGCAGGCAAGGTCCTCTCATCACTCACCTTTTCTTTGCTGACGACTCACTCATTTTTTGTAAAGCCAACACCAGGCAAGCTACTGAAATCATGAAAATTCTCAGAACATACGAAAAGGCTTCAGGACAGTTGGTCAACTTGGATAAATCAGCTATCTTCTTCAGCAAGAATGTATCGAGGGAGCTTAGAAGTGAAGTGTGCAGTTCCATAGGAGGAATGGCAGAGATAAAACAAGGCAAATATTTGGGGCTGTCAATGGTGATTGCCAGGACTAATGACCAGATCTTTGGGTTCATCAAGGAAAATATAAGAAGTAAGATGCAGGACTGGAGGAATAAGTTTCTGAGTAATGCAGGTAAGGAAGTACTCCTCAAGGCAGTGTCAATGGCAATGCCTACTTATGCCATGTCTGTTTTCAAACTATCTAGGAAGATGTGTAAAGACATCAGCTCTCTGATGGCCAACTACTGGTGGGGAGAAACAAATGGCAAGAATAAAATGCATTGCGTTTCCTGGAGGAAAATGTCAATGAAGAGGAATGAAGGAGGCCTGGGATTCAAGGACATTGAAGCTTATAATAAAGCCTTGCTTGGGAAGCAGATTTGGAGGATAATCACTAAACCGAACCTTCTGGTTAGTAAAGTGCTGAAAGCTAGGTACTTCCCCAAAGACTCCATCTTATCATGCAAAACATATAGGAATGCGTCTTGGTTCTGGCAAGGATTACTAGGAGCCAGATGCTTAATTGATCAAGGAATGATTAGAAGGATTGGCAATGGGAGGAGTACAAGTATTTGGGGTCATCGATGGATTCCTGGATCCAGTTCTGGGAAGCCAACTACTCCAAGACCTCTAAATTCTGAATGTAAGATGGTGCATGAGTTAATTAACCAACAGAGGTGGAATAGGAACACCATCTTTAAGTATTTCAATCATAAGGATGCTGAGAAGATCTTAAACATCCCCTTAAGTCTGACTGGGAGAGAGGACTGTTATTATTGGCAGCATAATGCAGGGGGGCAGTATACGGTCAGCTCAGGCTATCAATTCCTTATGAAGGAGAGAAGTGAAGCTGAAAAGGAACAAGTAGAGGCCGCTGGTTCAAGCATCAGAGAAGGAAGTCAGTCAGCCAGACAAATGTGGAAAACATTATGGAAGCTCAACATTAAACATAAGATCAAAATTTTCATTTGGAAATGCATAACAGGTGCACTACCAGTGCGAGCTGAAATCTATAGGAAGACAAGGTTGGGAGATCCAGTGTGTCGAATGTGTGGGGAAGAACAAGAATCAGTGGAACACTTATTCTTCAGCTGCCCGCACACACAGGAGGTCTGGAAGGTTGCTCCAATAAAGTGGGATGGTGTGGTGGACCAGCAAGGGAGTTTTAAACGATGGCGGATCACAGTATCAGAAGCTAGGAGAAGGCCAAGAGGGATGGAGCATATTGGTCTGACAGCGAACATTTTATGGCAGGTGTGGAAAGAAAGGAACAAAAAAGAGTTTGAAAACAAAGGCAGTTGTTTACCAGCTAGGACTATAAGTAAAGCCCATAAGGAGTGGTTGGAACAGGAGGGAAGCTTAAGTAGGATAACTAGGCTAAGCACAGGAAAAACAACTCCCATCACTGAAGAACCTTTTCAAGAGCTAGAAGAAGCAGACACAATTGTTATGGAGGTGGCAACAGAGAGTCAGGTAGGGAAAGTCCCTTTGGGGATTGGGGTCAGAGTGCGGAGGCATCCAAACACTTTACTGGCAGAATGGGCACTTAGAGAGAGAAGTTTGGGTAACAGAACCATTAATGATGCAGTGGCCATAAAACTGATTCTGTGTAAAGCTCTAGAGCAGGGATGGAGCAGAATTGCGATCCATTTCCATAACCAAGATCTGATGAGACAGATGAAGAATAGGTGCCCCTCCAACAGCAGTTTAGCTACTTTGATAGAGGACATTCTTAACATGCAGAGATTGTTTCGCATGTGCTTGTTTAGGTCTGTTAGGGATGAAAGAATAGAAAGAAGTAAATGTTTAAGTCATCATGCCTTTGGCATAATAGTGGATGAGGAATGGATTGTTCCTCAGTGCTTTTGAGCTCTGGTTTGTACAGATATTTCGAGCATTTGCTCGTACTGTGTGGTTTACACTTTGGAATGAAAATGATCCTAACGTTTCGATAAAAAAAAATTCGTACGTTTTCTGATTTAATTTCTCATGGTTGTTTTGTTGATTGAATATTAAGGGCACTCGATATTTAATTCAACTTAGCAAACTAACGCCAGTTAAGTTAAATCTGTAATTGTTTAATTATTTTCAATTAGTGGTGCCTAACGTGATTCGTTTCATGTTAAGAAAATATATGATCTAATTTAAATAAATTCAAGTAGTGATTTTATCGATTAGAATAGGACTTTTTTAATTTTTAAGACTATCAAGAAATTAAATTCTATGGATATGCTTAGGATTGTTTCTTGGTTAGAAAAATAGTTAACTGGTATAGTTTAACTATCGAGATGGTAAGAAAAAATTGATTGTCATCGCGTATTTGGCAACTATAACCTGTTTATTAACGAGTAATTGAAATAATCATTCTATCGATGAGCTGTTGTATGAACCACTTCCGAAATTATTTCCTTATCTAGAGTTTGTTTATTCTTGATTTGAATTTAATTTATCTTAGTTCAATTATTTTTATTTACATTGCTCATTTATTTTAATTTTAATTTCTCAAAATTCCCAATTAGTTTTTTACTTGAACCGAGATAAATTCTTTCCCTAATCCTTGTGAAAATGGCTCTATTTAATATTATATTCGTTTATATATTTTCGTGAGCAGGAATATATTATTGCATAAGATCGACACCTGTCAATTTTTAGCGTCGTTGTCGGGGATTGGCGTTGATTAATTTTTTTGTATTTATTTTATTTTAGTTTTTGATATTTTTGCTAGTTTATACCTTATTTTTCTCGTACAAGTGATTTAATCTTCAATCCCGAGGTTAAGAAGACTGCACGTAGGTTGTGAAAAGAAACTAGAATATGAAAGGGAGAACAATCATTTGCTGCATCTCTGGGGTTTAATTTGGTTGTGAATTTATTGGATTCTTCCTATGATTCTGAGCAGGAAGAAGTTACGATGACAAACAATAACCGGGCCTTAACGGAGTTGGCTGCTCCTGATTTAAATCAGTAACGTCATTACTTTTTCTGATTTTGTTAAAAATGTAACATATGAATCAAAATCAAGATTAATTTACATCTTACCTAATTTTCATAGTTTATCAGGTGAAGAGTCCCACAAACACCTTAACAAGTTCATCGTTGTCTGTTTGAGTATGAAGCCACTTGTTGTCACAGAGGAGCAGATTAAGATGCGAGCCTTCCATTTTTCATTAAAAGAAGCTGTCAAAAATTGGCTATACTATTTGCTCGTGGGGAGCATTACAACATGGATAGATATGAAGAAAAAAATTTTTCTAAAAATTTTTCTACATCCCAAACTACCAATTTGTAAAAAGAAATTTATGGTATTAAGCAGCAACCCAGAGAATATCTATGCATTGAAAAATATTTAAAAAATTGTGCACCAATTGCCTGCAGCACCAAATCAGTGATCAATTGCTCATTCAATACTTTTATAAAAGCTTACTCTATAGAAATAGAAGCATCACTAATGCCACAAGTGAAGGTGCATTAGTGAACAAGACTCCTCGATAAACTTGGGATTTGATTGAAGAGACGGCTGATAATTCCCAATAATTTGGCACATGGGATGATGTGCCAACTCGTCGAGTGAACGAGGTGAATATTTCATTACTTCAAGTGCAATTGTCTGAATTAACATCTATGATTTGACAGATGGCAGTAGGGAACAAGTCAAGGCGTGTGAAATTTGCAAAGATACTAGCCATCTTACTAATAAATGCCCGATGCTACAGGATGATAGTGTTGAACAAATGAACATGGATGGTAACGTGTCTGCGCCATGCAAACAATATAATTCTTATTCCAACACATACAATTTAGGTTGTAGGGACCACCCAAATTTCAGTTATGAGAAAAATAAGCAACAAAATTTCTTTTCCAATAGACAGCAAGGATTCCAACTGCAGTATCTATCAAGACCTTAACCCGTTACTCCTAATTCATAACCATCTAGAAGATATGCTAAAAATATTGGTTTCTAATACTTTGCAATTCCAACAAAAAACGAAGCCAAGTATACGAGATATATAAAATCAGATGAGTCATATGACCCATACAATACATTGCTTGGAGTCTCAAGAGAAAGGAAGACTCCTTTCTCAGATTGAGGTGAATTCTAAGAACGTTAGCGCCATGACCCTTCAAAGTGGAAAGGAAATTGAAAGGTCCAAAACTATAGTTTCGAAGGATAAGAGCGAAAATCAAATTAAAAATGAGTTGAAAAAAGAAGAAATAAACAAGGCAACTCTTGTGGTAACTTTGGACTCTTCAATTAAAATTAATACTAACCCCAACCTTTCCCTAATAGGTTGGAGATGTCAAAACGACAAGTCAAAGAAAAAGAAATTTTGGAGATGTTCCGGAAGATGGCAATCAATATCTCTTTATTGAAACAATCAAACAAGTATCAAAATGTACTAAATTTTTTAAGAACTTGTGCATTAATAAGAAGAAATTAAAAGGGGATGAGCAAATCATGTAGATGAAAATGTTTCAGTGATTTTACAAAGAAAACTAACACTTAAATGTGGGAATTCAGGTATGTTTACTATCCCCTGTACGATTGGATATTTTAGAATTAAAAAATATCATACTAGATTTAGGACTTCTATTAATGTGATATCTAAATCTATTTATGATTCTCTAAATTTAGGATTTTTGAAAAGAAACGGGGATAATAATTTAATTATCTAATTATTCATTTGCTTATTCGGATGGGGTGATTGAAGATATTTTAGTGCAAGTTAATGGATTTAGTTTTTCCTACTAATTTTTATGTGCTTTAGATGAATGATAGAAGCGTTTCAAATTCATCACCCATTATATTAGGGAAATCCTTCTTGAGTACTATTCAAACTAAGATTGATGTTAGTAAGGTTATTCTTACGATAGAATTTGTTGAAGAAGTAATCCATTTTAATATTTTTGACGCAATGAAATATCCTATTAACTCTCATTTTATGTTTGTCATTTATACTATTAATCTCTTTGTGCGAGAATTTTCTGAATCTAATTACAGGGGTAAGTTAAAAATTGTTGCGACCAAGCATCATGGGTTAAAAGTAACTTATGATGTGAAAATGGATAAAAAGTTAAAGAAGGTGATTATATATAGTGGTGATTTGGATCCTGGAGAAATTTCATCAATTGCAAGAAAGTTTGAATTACAATTGAATTGAAAAATGATACATTATGTCTAACCAAGAACGTTAAAAAAAGGCACTTATTAGGAGACAACCTAATTCAATTTTAAGTTCATTGTTATCATTTTTATTATTTTTAGTTTAAATTTCTTATATTTTATGTGTTTGACTTTCGTTTTACTATTTTAGTGGATAGAAAACTGCTATCCAGCAAGGCGTGCCCACGTCTAACTGACTGGCAAGTTCATATTTCAATTTCAAAAATTTCAAAAGACAACCGGGAAACAAAACGTGCCACGTTTTGAGAGCGCGCTGAATCTCGTAAAAATTTCAAAATCATTATTAGAAAACTACAGAGTAATAAGACATGCCCGCGTCTTATTCCAACAAAGGGGAGCAAAAAAATCCCAAAATTCTAATTATTCTCTTTCTTTTCTTTTCTTTCTTTTTCCTTATCTCTTTCTTTCTTTTCATTTTTTTTCTTTCCCCCTTATATTCCAAACGACGAACTCTTTTCCATCGCCATTTAGAAAATGTCATCGAGTTTGGACGTCATCATCACTGCTCGCCTTTGCTAGTTATGGTCAGCGCTGCAACCATTCTGTCTATTGTACTCCTCCTTTTGCCCCTTATCCATAGCTGCTATACCCCCCTCGCTGATCAAAAAAGTTTTGTTGTTCCCTTTCGATTCTTTTGGGGGGTATAGTATAGTGGTACTATTCCTTTTAGGCGTTTAGATTGAACTTTTTGTTAAAGTTTTTGAATTTTATTTATTTTTTTTCATTTTTGTGCAATTTTGTGGTTAATTCTAATCAATAATGGCTAAATGTCTCAAATTTTTTATTACTAAGATTTTATATATTAATGTGTTAAGTATGATATAGTAAGATCTAAAAGTATCTCTCTGATGATATTTGAGATTTTATGAATTGTAAATATTTTTTGACATTTTTAATAAATATTGGTTCAATTATTAATTTTAGTTCTTCGTAGTTGAAAAATGAAGTAGGTTGATGTGGTTTTTAATTTTATTTTTGATACTTATTTATGACAAGTAGTTGGCTATACTGCACTAATTATCGCTGTCTGTTAACAGGGAATTTTTATCACAAGTGTCGACTTTCGCATTAAAAAGTGACAATAATTATAAGTATGTGATTCGATGGCAATGAGAATTGAGTAACCGGATTGATTTATTTGGTAGATGCTGAAATTCAGGTTAAAAAACTTGAATGGTTAAGAACCAAGCATTCCCCCTAAAAATAGGAAAAAATCAAATATAAGGACATCTTAGAAAGGAGAAAAAAGTTGTGCTAATGGTGAAAAATGAAAAAATGTATATGAAAGTAAGAGTATGTGAATGGTTAGCCTACTAATCCATGAGTTTTAGTATTGAGATTTTGCTTAATAGTCGAACTATTTGCTAATGAATGTTGGTTGAATATTTATATTCTTAGATTAGTGATTTAGAAAGTGAAAAAGTTATTGGTTTTAAAAACTAATCGGAGAGATATTTCTTAAAAACTAGCCACTAATGCTTGACGTGTGTTTTAATTATACGTTGGCAATAAATGATTTGAGTGATAGCCACTGTTTGAACGCGATTGTTTGATTGGTTGTTTTCATACTTAAGAATAAACATGGTTTAGGTGTGCGAGGAATTGATAGGATGCATAATGGATATTAAATTGTGAATATTTTCCCTTGATATTTGCCAAATATTATAGCATTAGATGGATTCTACTT